TAATTTCCCCCGTGCCACCCCAGATGAGGAACCTCCTGGAAACTGGGGTTTTCACCTGCTGCCTCACTGCTTTATCTCCAGCACTCGGGACAGTGCCTAACACTTAACGGGAGTTCAACAAATAGTTGGTGAATAAATTAATCAGTTAAGGAGCAAAATAAGCTCCCAAGGTAAAAAGTTACTTGCTTACAGCAGAGCGAACAGAACAACAGCCCCGTCTTACTGGACCTCATTATTCCCATCATGACAGTGGTGCAGTGCGACGACAGGATGTTCTGCGAGGCGAGACAAAGGGAAGGTTCCAGGTTCACATCCAGAGATGCTCCTGAGTATGCTGAGCCGAGCACGCCCGTGCCCAGGATCCAGGGCTGGATAAAGCTGGGAGGAGACTGCAGCTTCAGGACTCTGTTGGGGTGCTATGCCTCTGTCTCTGTCTCTGTCCCTGTCTCTGTCTCTCTAACTTACGGAAGAAATATGCTTTGGAGAATTTTTTTTTTTTTGGAGGGGGAAAGGTTTTTGTAATAGGGTGCGTGCATTCGCCAGAAAGACAGAGACAGAGAGACAGAAAGAGAGAAATCACCCCCAGGCGGGATAGCCAAACCACAATCCCTTCTCCTCCATTCTTCTCTTAGAAATTCACACAAACGTGCCCGGCGTGAGTTTAAGCCACTGGGTCCAGGATTTGAACCACAGTCAACTACATGGGAGTCCGGCGACATAGCCATTACACCAACTGCTGGCCCCGAATTTTCACCGAGCACTTACTCCGTGCCAAGTGCTGTGCTGAGCACTTTCCTTTCCTGCACATCTTTTTCCAATCTAATCATTGTAATAACCCCACGAGTCAGGTACTACTGGTCTGAAAATGTGAGCAAAGTGGTGGACGCAAAGGCGAGACCGAGGTCATGCAGGCAGGAAGAGGCAGGGGAGGGCCCACAAGCCAGAACGACGTGATGTTTCAACATCCCGCTCTTAATAGGGAGGCAACTGCCTCTCAGATTAAAGCTAGCATTCGTTAACTGACTTGTGTATCAGGGTAAATTATTTACTTGAGATGTCTTATTTAACTATTTTAATTTTTGTTTTTGAGAGGTTTTTACTATAGGGTGCATGCACTCACCAGGAAGACAGAGAGACAGAGAGACAGAAAGCGAGAAATCTCCCCCCCAGGGGGGATGGTCACACCGCAATCCCTTCTCCTCCATTCTCCTCTCGGGATCTTGGGCACGCACACACACGCACCCAGGGTGAGTTTAAGCCACTGGGTCCAGGACTCGAACCACAGTTGACTACATGGGAGTCTAGCAACATAGCCATTATGCCAACTGCTGGTCCACAACATTTTTAAGGACAACATTCCTTATCCAACATACGATTTCCCCTTCTTTAAATAAGGGAACCCTGACCCATTTTGTTTGAAGTAATAACGTGCCCAGCTAAAAAGCTTCCTTTCCCAGCCTCCCTTGCAAATGACCAAATTACACAGTCCCGACCAGTAGAATGGAAGTGGAAGTCACAGAAGACATTCGGGAAAGAAAGCCCTCCCACAGGGAGCCAACCCAGCTGTCCAGTGTCTGTGTCCTCCTGCCATACTCTTCCGGCCAGAACACACGCGTGGGGCTAAGGGAGGCGGCGATCCTGTAACCGTGAGGACAGTCATCTGCTAAGTGTGGCGGCCTGAAAACTCGGAGGCTGGGTGTCTGGCGGTGCCTGGGCTATCCCGTCCATCCTGCTTGGTATGTAAAGGAGAACACGTGCTTTACCAACCGCCGTGATGTCGTTTCTGCACATGTAAAGGCAAATGTGATCCCTGATGACACAACGCTATGAGGCTGTTGACCCAAATCTGGCCTCTCTGAAAACCTCACCTTGGCGGAGTCTCCCCATCAGGGGAAAATACACTAATATTAAATAAGCATCACTCTGGCTTTTTTAGAGAAAGAGAGATTTTTGTGTGTGCACTCACTGGAGAGGCAGAGACAGACAGAAAGCGAGAAATCACCCCCTGGGGGGATGGCCACGCCGCAATCCCTTCTCCTCCGTTCTCCTCTCGGGATCATGGGCAGGCATGCACATGTGCCTGGCATGAGTTTGAAGCCAACGGGTCAGGGACTTGAACCATAGTCAACTGCGTGGAAGTCCAGTGACATAATCATTATGCCATCTGCTGGTCCCAGCATCACTGTTAATAGAGCTTTGAAGTTCTTTGCAGCCATAGAGAGGCTGGAAGTGAGGCTCTGGCATTTGTACTTAGAAACCACTACTTTAAACATCAAAATGTGTGGCTAGTGAACAATTAATGAAGGGGGGAGGCAGAGGACGAAGCTAGTGGGTTGTCTTAGCCAAAGTTCAAAGCTAGGTGCATCAGGCCCTTACTAAAAACTAGATCGCAAGCCTATTCTACATGACCAGTGTTTAAACCTGGTTTGAGATAAACAGTAAATATTTATTGAGACTTTGTCAGATGTACAACAATAAAAGTCACATGGCACAGCCCTTCCCAGGCTGATCTTCCTCTCTGCCATCACACCATATTGGTGGCAATAACCTGGTGGCAGCCTTACACAGATAAATGATCATGTCTGACAAAAATCCCTAAATCTATCTATGCCTGAATGAGACTTTAAACTAAGAAAAAGAAACAGATGGAGTGGTATTCCAATAAACATTAAAAACAGGTTCAACGTGTTTAACTATTACGAGACCAGCAGGCAGCATAATGGCTAGTCGCTGGACTCCCATGTAGTCGACAGTGGTTCGAGTCCCGGGCCCGGTGGCTTAAACTCATGCCGGGCGCGTGTGCGTGCGTGCCCAAGATCCCGAGAGGAGAATGGAGGAGAAGGGATTGCAGTGTGCCCATCCCCCCTGGGAGGGTGATTTCTCGCTTTCTGTCTCTCTGTCTCTCTGTCTCGCTCTGTCTTTCTGGCGAGCACTCGTGCCCTATAGCAAAAAAAAAAAAAAAAAAAACTCTCCAGACAAAAAAAAAGTTTAACTGTTACAAGATTTCAAATCACATAGTATTTCATATTTTGTGTCATTAATGAAAACTGGGAAATATAAGAACAAGAGGAGGAGGGGAAGTAAGTAAGATAACAACTACTATTTCATGGAGCATTTAAAATAAGCAAGACGCTTTCCACAACCGACTGCATTCAAGACACACATCCCAAGGATATAGGTACTATTATTCCCATTTTATAAACAAAAAAGCTGATGTCATTTATATATATCAACATATAATTTGCCCAAGATCACATAAAAGAGGCCAAGTCAGAATTTGAATCCAGGTCAATCTAGCCCCAACTTCATACTTTCATAGCTGTTTCAACACATGTCAAATACAGTTTGACACATGCTCAGAAATTCTAGTAATGCAAAGACTACGAATGAGTTAAAAAATACTGAAAAAAATTAATGATTAACTGAGAATGATACTAGCATCTCTTATAAATAATCACACTCAAAAGAACTTCAAATATTGCCAAAGCATGCTTAACATGATACAATTTTTAAAATATACATATAAAAAAGGAAATTCTTTGAATTCCCAATCTGTATGCTATTAATATATCCCTAAGAAGAGATTCTTCCTTTCTCTGTACAATTTTAGCAGAGAGGGTGAACAAAGCGAATGTGAGAAACTCCATAAATATCACAGTGAAAAAAAAAATTATAGTTCAAATAAATGTATGTATTTTGATGAGGAAAGAGATATTGTTACACTGATTTCTCTAAAATATTGGGTTGTCAGAAAACTCATGATCCATTTTTGCATAGAAAAATATGCCATGATTTTTCCAGCAACCCAATACAACCCTCTGAAAATAAAATTTAAATGATCTCCCAAGCCCTTTCTTCTAGACTCCAATTCATTTGTTTCCTGAAAAAGTCTAATATAATCTGAAGAAAGCATAAAGACTCATTTTGAAAATCTTAGCTTATTACAAAATGCTGCATTTCAAACACATTCATATGGAAGCAAAGTTAGAATAGTAACACTTCTTTATTGACCCCCTGCCACTTGTATAGGCTGCAGTTCAAGGAAAAACTGTTTCTTCCTGTTGGGAGGATGGGTGAGAGAGCAGGTCTGAGAAGTGGAGTGGAAGGGTGTGAGGCAAGCCTACCAGATTTTTTCACTGCAAGAATATTTCCCTCAATCTATAGACTACATATCACATCTTCCAGTTTCTAATCCAAAATTCAATTAGGATGCAGGAAACGGGAGAGCCGCATGCCAGTATCGATGCCGGTATCGGCTCTGCCACCAACCCTCCTGTGACTTCTGGCAATCATTTTACCTTTACCTGTCTCAGTGTCACCAATTATGAAACAAAGTGGTTCACCGTACCTCACGCCGTACACCAAACATTAACTCGGAAAGTATCAGAGGCTTAAACGGAACAGCTAAAACTAAAACACTTTGATGAAACATAGAGCGTCTTCATTCTGCTGGGTAGGGAAGATTTCTTAGCTACAACATCAAACGTGAAAACAATAAAGGAAAAATGTGATCAGTTAATCGTCATCAAAATTCAAAACCTGGGCCAGAGAGTGGTGCAACAGTGACACAGCAGTCGGTGACACTGGACGTACATGGAAAGGTCCCAGATTCATGTCCGGGGGCCTCCCTGTGTATGCTATCAAGGTGTCTTTTAGGGACCAGCAGATGACATAATGGTTTCACTGCTTGGGACCCCCACGTAGTTGCCCACAGCTCGTGTCCTGGACTCGGCAGCTCAAAACTGATGCCAGGTGTGTATGCGCGCCTAAGATCCTGAGAAGAAACCAGAGAAGAGACTGCGGCTTGGCCATCCCTCCTGGGGGATGATTTCTCGCTTTCTGTTTCTCTGTATCTCCAGTGAATGCACATGCACTATAGCAAAAATCTCTCTTTAAAAAACAAACAAAGAAAGATGTTTTAAAGTACAAAACGGGACCAGCAGTTGGCGTAATGACTCTGTTGCTGGACACCCATGTAGTCGACTGCGGTTCGAGTCCTGAACCCGGCAGCGTAAACTCACGCTGGGTGTGTGTACATAGGTGCCCAAGATCCTGAGAATGGAGGAGAAGGGATTGCGGCATGGCCATCATCCCTATAGCAAAAACCTCTCCAAAATAATAATAATAAAGTATAAAACACTGTCTCAAAGCATAGTAGCTAAGAGAGCCTAACCTTCACACGGTCAATCCATATGGATCCTGGCCCAACAGTCTGGGGAATACACAGGGCACATGTGTGTGCATTCCCCAAATCCTGACAGAACAGAAAAATGGAGGAGATGGGATTACAGCATGACACACCCTACTGAGAGGTGCTTTCTCCCCCAACCCCCATCTCTCCACTTCTGCAAGCACACACACCTTTTGACAATCAAAACCTAAAAAAGTGAAAGGACAAACTACGGATTGGGAGAACATACCTGAATTGAAATGGTATGGATTCACATATTGGATGAACACACACACACACACACACACACTCCTACAAGTTGGTGATAAAATAACCCAATATGCAACTCAAATGGGCAGAACTGAATAGGCATTTCACTAAAGAAAATATATGAAAGCCTAATAAATAAGTACCTGAGAGGGCTGTGCAGTGACACAGTAACAAAACTCAACGCTCTACAAGGCAGACACACATGGGAAAGTTCCTGGTTCGTGTCCAGAACCTCCCTGAATACACCAGACATGCATGTGCCCATGACTGAGGGAGGATTGTGGCATCAAGACCTCGTTGGAATTGCCTCCCTCTCTCTCTCAAAATAAGATTAAAAAAAAACTTCAAAAAAGGCCCTGATGTACATTAATATCAATATCACATGCTACAACACAGATGAACCTCAAAAACCGTTATGTGAAGTAAAAAAAAGGCAAACACTAGGGACCACTTTTTTTTGGGGGGGGGCCATAGAGTGTGTGTACTCATCAGAGACAGACAGAGAGAAGGAAAGTGAGAAATCACCCCCCAGGGAAATGGCCATCCCACAATGCCTTCTCCTCCATTCTCCTCTCAGGATTCTGGACACACATGCACACGTGCCGGGCATAAATTTCAAGCTGCCAGGTCCAGGACTTGAACTACAGTCGGCCACATGGGAGTCCAGCATCTTAACCACCATGCCACCTGCTGACCCAGGACCACATATTATATGAATGCATTTACATGAGATGTCCAGAAAGAGCAAATTCACCCAGACAGAAAGTTTTGTGGTTGCCTGGGATGGGGGTGGGGACAGGGAGTGACTGCATAAGACCATGAGGCATCTTTTTGGAATGATGGAAATGTTCTAAAATTGTATCGTGGTGATGACTAAACTCTGAATTTCTAAAAAGTTATTGAATTGTACACTTTAATCAGGTAGACTTTATGACATGGAAAATGATACCTCAATAACACTGCTTTTAAAAAATAAAAAGTATTATGCTATGTGAAAGAAGCCAAGCATAATACATGAAATGTCCAGAAAAGGCAGGTCTATGGATAGAAAAAGTAGATTTAGGATTGCACGGTGGTACAGGTAGGAAGAGGAATTCATTTCAAACAGGCACAAGGGATCTCACTGGAGTGATCAAAATATTCTACAACTAGATTATGTTGATAGCTATACGACATAGTAAATTTACCAAAAATCACTACGTCCTATATTTAAAATGGATCGATTGCATCACATTAACTTATATCTTGGTGGACCAGCAGTTAGCATAATGGCTATGTCGCTGGACTCCCATGGAGTCGACCACAGTTTGAGTCCCGGACCCGGTGGCTTAAATTCACACCAGGCGCGTGTGCATGCGTACCCAAGATCCCGAGAGGAGAATGGAGGAGAAGGGATTGCGGCGTGGCCATCGCCCCCCCCACCCCGATTTCTCACTTTCTGTCTCTC